AAAAAAACCGCATCCTTGGGGAGTCGGCGGGCAGGTATTACGCCATTAAAAAGGGAGTGAAGTTCCTTCCCTCAAACAGAGAGAAAACCGAAGCAAAATAAACGCTCAGTACGCGAGCGAGGTGACTGAGAAAAATCAAAGTATCGAATAATCACTTAAATGTTCATGGCGAGGAAACAAAAACAAAACAATCACAGCCCGCAGAGGGGAACCACAGAGGGTCGGAGAAATATGACCGCCATATATTTAAAACAAAAATAAAACTCCGTCTCTCCAAAGAGAGGAGGGGGTGAAAATGAAAAACCCCTGTTAAGGGATCGTAAGATGGTGTTGACAAAAACCTCGAATGCTGCTCGCTCCCAGAAATGGGCGGTATTTAAAGAAATAGCTAGAAGTGGAAGTTAAACTTCCTAAAAAGCCAAAAAAATCGAGCTTAAGGAGCGAACTGAACTGAGTTAACTAACCCCTTAAATTTTAGCAGAATTAAATACTAACGGCGACCGTACCGTAACTAAAAACATGTGTTGACATCAAAGGTCGCCGACAGCTTTTTTTTCCAAGAAAAGGAGTGTCTGAGGAATGTGCAAGGAGCTTCCTGGGGAAAATGTCCTCATTGCGCTAACGCGTTAAGGGGCGAGAAGAAAAAAGATGAAGACAATAAAAACTGTATCAAAAAATATAAATTAAGCCGAAAAATTAGTATTTTGATTAATAAAACGGGATATTTAGAAATTAGGCTGTGACTTAATGTCACAGATAGCACATATAGATAGTAAAAAATGTCTATCTATTGTACGATATTCATCAAAAAACATTTCAAACTAATTACAACATGAATTACTTTTAACGATAACAAATTTTATCTCCCTCTTGGAATTGACGTTAAACCTATCGAAATTCGTCAACTATATTATTTCACTACTTTAAATTTTTTAAAAATAATCCGTATAAATTCTAAAACTTGCCAAGCACTATTTTTCCTATTCTAATAAGGCGACACCTTTATTTTTTATCTTTTTAAAAGTTATCAAAACTCATCATTAAAAACGTGTTAAAAACAGAAAAAAAAGCAGAAAAGTTGAAAAACAAACATGTAGCCTGAAAATCAAGATGGCAAGAAAATATAACTCCAATCCAAAATTTTTAACCAAAATTCAAAATAGTTTTTAACTTTCATTGTAAACTTCCATTGTTTAACTTCCATTGAGTTGCAATATTTGTACCGCATTTATTAAGAATTATGTTTTAAAGTAATTAGAAAAACAATGCAACTTTTTAGTCAAAATGCATTTAATCCTTACACAATTTTCTCCTGTATATATCGCATAAAAATTTACTAATTTAAATTCTTACATGACCCCCCTAGCCATTAATTAGTATAATCCTATCGTTAACGAAGAAAACAATTAATAATTTGTAAGCCATAATCATATCTCTATTTAGAGCCATTATTTGTAAGTATCAGCTTCCTTTTAATAATTATGCACATAAATTTGAAACCTTGAAACTGTAATTGGGTCACATTAGCCTTACTTTTGGCAAATACCTGAAGTATTTAAATAATTCTGCTTTGTGATTGGTTGTCAACAACTTCTGTTGAAAAAGATGAAATGACATAAAATTCACTTTATTGAATTTATGTTTAAATACTATTTCATCATCATTCATTGTTAAAACAAATGTTTACATGATAGTAATTATGGGATTATAGTTTCGATACATGTTTTCTATTGTTTTCTATTCTTATTGATTGTCTTTAAGAGCTCCATCTTGGATTCTAGGTGAAATTTTTAACTTTCGTTT